TGAGATATTGCGTGTTCTCGATCGATGGAGACCTCGTTTTGGGGTATTGGCTTAAGGTAATCGGTGTTATGCACGGTCATGCGTTTCCATAGATCTTGCATCATCGCCGTCGACGCCGAGGACGAGCAGCGTCCATGAATAGTGCATCATGTGCATGAATATTTCACGCTCCCTGCGCCATGTGCACTTGGTCTCTGTCCAAAAATCTCTTCAACTTTTTCAGAGATGGTTTTTCAGAGACGATATATAAAGTTCCAATTAACTAATCATGGGGACTTGCGAGTGCATATAAAAAATTACAGAACGTCATTATGTTATCACGATTTTAACTGTATCGTGCTCCAAGAAATTCGCTTTTTTATTCAAAGCGTTGAAAAAAGGATTGAAGGAGCGTATAAAGTTTACATAAAGGAATAAAGGCTGTTAAAAGCACATGTAGTAATAACGAAAAGATTCTCAACAATTTTATGAAACTATGCAAAATTCAACGTTTTAGATGATCTTGGGAAATTAAAAAAAAAATATTTGTATTTTAACAAATGTAAGATTTATGCGTAAAAATATCAAGAAAAAATTTTACGAAAATAAAAATGAAAATGATAATGAAACGATCGTTATTTAAAGCTTCGCGTAAACGAAACAAAAACGCAATACAGAAACTCTAGTACAGCCGCGGAAACCGGTTGGAACAGGTTCTTTCAATGAGAGACTCACCTGATAAAAGATTTTTTAAACGAATTGGAGTTTCTTTTCGCAATTTACAGACTAATGTATGCAAGCACAATTGAACTGATATACCGTGAATATTCCATAGTATGATGGACAATTCCGTGCTCGCTTTATCTATCCTCAATCAATTGCTTTGAACAAGCTCCAAAACCATCCTCCCAATCGCATTTGATCGATACGTATCGCATTGATTATACACTCGATGCAATATGAATACACTATTTGTATCGACAGTGAGATGGCGAGGCCAATCGAATTTCTCGACGATAAGCGCCATTAATAAAGCTGTAACAAAATAAGACGCAATTTTGATTAAAATCTATATAAAGATTTATATCTAAAAATTTCCTTCGGTGTAAATAAATTATTACAAAATATAAAATTTGAAGACTTATTAAAATAATTAACAATTTAATTTCATAAATCATGAATAAAAAATTTTAAATTTGCTTAAATTAAAAATAATTGCGGAAACTTTTAACAAAATATCTGTGAGATTTAGAAGAAATGATAGACTCCGATCTCTAAGAGAAATTGCACTTCTGAGAATTCGTAGGTTATACATAGTTCATTAACTACTTTTGATTAATAGGCGCCAAATCTATCAGTCTTACTGACGTCATATCACTCTTATTAGTAAGTACGACGCAAACTGTATCGTCTAACATTGCAATCGCACGTGTTCGATCGCAACGGAAGACATACGATTAAATTCCGTTCACGTGTTGCTCAAGTGACCTTCTATTTTCTAATATTGTTGTCCCTGACATCTCTTTTGAATCCTAAGATACTGTAGCAACTTCTTCAATCTTAATTTGGCAAGTATTATAAAAGAACATTCGTATATATCTCTTATACTATCGAGATCTTCGATAGTATAAGACAATTATTTCACGGACAATATGTCAGCGTAAGATTTTTTTTTTATTAATTTTGCATCTTTATATATAGCTTTTTCTCAATAATTATACATTAAAATACAAAGCCTTGAATCGATTATTATTATTATTTTTAATTAAAATACAAAAAATATTTTTGTATAAAGAACGAGTATATTCGTATTTTATGCAAATGTAAAATATATAACACAAAAAATATTTCTGCAACGTAATACATGTGTTGCATTTTTTAAAATTAATTAAATTTTAAAATGCATAGATATATGCAAAGAATGTGTAACATATTGCTGTTGTATGAAATTTGTATTGACTTGAATTTTTTCTTCTCTTGAAATTTCGCGCAATTGATGAAAAAAAAAAAGAATAAATCTCACAAGTGAGTTCCGCGCGGCCGCACGTAGACGAAATCAATACTCGATTCTTTAAACCGTTATATATAATTGTCAAGGTTTATTAAAAATGTCTATAGATTTGTTACATCCATAAATTTTTTAGGAGAAAGATTTTTCTCTTTGTTTCCATCTTCTCTGTTGCGTCATTTATCAAGTTATGTAAGAATTCCTCGTGGTAAAATATAGTTAAACTTTCTCGTTGGCGCAATGCAGTCTAGATAAGGATACAATAAAATAAACATCACAACGAGAGATAATATTTCTCGATAAGATAATGAATAACTTATGCATAGGATAACTTCGACACCTATTTTTGAATGAGTTATGACGGGATTGTCATGAAAAATAAAACAGGTTGCAGTAGAAACGCGCTCCAGATGCCTTTTATGTATTAGAAATGGTTAAATACAAAATCATTTTCAGTTTTAACGCGAATTTATTTTGCACTTGACGCATATGACAACCAAGCGTTGTGGAAATAAAAGGCAGTGATAAAAAATCCGAAATTATTAGCGTCTGCGGAACTCGCGACGCGTTTTATTACATATGTACGCGCGAGCGTGTGAGCAAAACATGATGCACTCGGATTTCTCTCTGAGCCAATTCGATTAGTAACAATGCCGCGACACACGATATACCCGGATCGGATAAAGCTGCCGATTACAATCAGAAGCCACGGATCGATTAAGCGCACGATCCCAGAGATCAGAGTAACGAACTCGTCGACGGCACGCGATATCATGAATTTTCCGCACGTCATTCACGTCAATTCGTCGATTAATTTAAAGCAGATGTAACGAATGGATTTTGTTGATCTTACAAAATCCTGCATAATGAAATTAAATTCATATACTTTTGCCATTATATGAAATTTAAACGTCTGACTAACAAAAATTTAAATCAAAATTTTTTTTTGTAACGTAAAATTAAAATTATCTTGGTGACATTTATCATATACATTTTTTTGGAATTTATAAAATAAATTAAAAAATATTTGTAAAAGAATTATCAAACAAAATAAAAATTTTTATTTAAATAAAATCTCTTTGAATAATCTGCAATGCTGAAAAAAATAGTAATTTGTTGAATGTTAGAGTGCAAATATTAGTAAAAAGATACCTACGTTGCATCGGTTTGTAAAAACTGTATGTATTATCGGTGGCAATGTTAATAGCGAAATTATTTATAGAGTTATGTCCGTAAAAAATACGTTCATCTCTCGACTTTCAAAAATATTTTTCTTCCTCATCGCAATATTGATGTTGCTTCTGTCCGCGAAAAGTTCGTTTCACAATTATGTACGCCAGGAATTATCGATGAGATTTAATTTTAATATATGCAAACTGCAAAGTTTATAATATAATAAACAGTTAATAAGTATATCAGACAGATGATATTAATAAGGAATAGTTGTCGAGAATTTTTGCACACATAGTTTTGCGAGTTTTGCACGAAACTTGCGATATCAATAGATTTAATTGCGTATCTGAAAATTAATGCAATGCTTATCGATCTTACATAATACAATAGCTAAACATAAATGCATAAACGTTGATCGACAACAAAAATAAACTATGCTCATATCGTCTTTATTCGCTCTAAATATTTTTTCATTTATTTAGAGAATCCGTTTTAACATTTTTACGAAGTCTAGAAATAAAAAGATATTGGCTAGGCAAACTATTCTAAATTATTTTAAATATGTGAGACATTAATATTTTCTTTCTTTTTTCGATAATGCAAAGATTTTTATTAACTGTTAAATTAGAAACTGTGATGATACTTGATAACACTGGCATAATGTTCTAGGATTACCTTTGGGTAGATAGAAAACTGCGCAGTTTTCTTTAGTTTTCAATGTGAGAAGAGTTCATCGGAATCTCTCTTTCTCGCGCACGACTTCGTGAATATGATCCTGGCAGCAGACCAGGACTTCATTTTAAGCATCGACGGTCTCCGGCCACATTCCACGCCGTAATTCCGTAGCGGCTCCGCCACAAGAAAGAAACGCGTCTTCCTATTTCGTCATCATGGTCAGACATTCTCTTGAAAGAATTTTTTTGCATTTTATCTTCGCAATCAATAATTTCTCTAGCGTAGAAAATCGACGAGTGGTAGAGATGAGTTTAAATTACTCAATTATAGCTTATTGCGTAACTGTAGAATTAGCTTTGATTGAACAACCGAACGATTTGATAAGCCGAGACAATTTGATAAAAAATTAAAGATATCTGTTATTCAGAAAAAAAACTCAAAAATTTATCTATAAAGAAAATTACAAAGAAAATTAATTAGAAAATTTTAATTAATTTACTGATTTTAGAACAGTTCAATCAAGATTTGAATGCCAATATGAATTTATTAGTATTGGTAAAAATTTTGTTAATAATACAACTATTTTATTGAAAAATTCTCTAATTTTTAATTTAATAATGAGATAATTAGAAATATGGCATAAATAAAAATTTATGCTTTTGCATTTATGATATAATTTTAATTCATAGAGTTTAATATTTAAATATAAAGCTGCAAATAAAGTAAAATTTACCTTAACATTTCGAATGTTGATCTTTAAATAGATACTTTGTTGTATTTAGGGATATTTAAGCTATTCTTATAAATTATTATTTATATTAGTACTGATTATTAGTACTATTATTAGTACTGATATAAAAAGCCAATGTCGATCGCATAATGGCAAACACCTTATGTTTCTGACGTAGGAACAACTTTATTACACTTATGATAGCCGTCATGAATTAAATGATCATATAAACTTCGAAGAAATAGCTCCTGATCCGGAAATAGAACGTTTGGAGGGTCAAGATGCTGATTCTATTGATATGAATCGATAAGATGCTGACTGATACGAGAGAAAATAAAGCAGAAGACACACAAACATCGGAAAATTTATTGAGAACCTTCATTTAAAACTGCTCCTTTCCGGTTTCGACGAGCTAAAAACAGTATAAGTCACCTTGTTAGCAACGTGACATTTTATGATGCGCCTCTTCATCTTTTTGCATCAGAACTCGAAATATCCGATTCTCACCGAATATAGTGCAAATAATGCACGCGCGCAAAATATTGACAGTAAAATTTTCACATTCCTCGCAATCTTCTCATTTAGAGGCTCTTCAGATGAAATTATTTTCGCAAAAGTCAGAATAGACACGAGAGATTACCAAGCATTCAAATTTTTATTTACATTCCTTTTTACGTATTTATTTTATCGTATAAATTACTTTTCATACTTTATGTGAGTCAACAGTACTCGGACTCTTCTTTTTGCCAACTTCGTTTTCTTTCTTATATTTTCATATCTATTGAAAACGCGTGTCCTCGAAACTCACAAGATCTAGTATAAAAATACTACATTTGATGCTGTAAGTTAAAAAAACATAGTAATTCTATTAACTTAAAAAGAAATGAAACGTATAAGATTGAAGGTCTGAGAGAATCAAAGAAGTTGCGAGTAGTTTTTATCAGATTATCTTGATTCGCTATTGATTGATGGAAGCGAGATAAGTTACTCTGGAGAAAAGGAAAGAGAGGGAAGTATAATAAAGAAGAGCGTATGTAAATCGCACACAGTCGATGTACCGATTTGCGAGAAAATTATCCAGAAAAGTAATCTGCGTTGCTGATAAGGCAATATACTTTCGGGAACCCGATGAATGTTTTCACAATCACTAATCGCAAGGTTATCGCGCGGAGTATATTACTGCCGCGGCATTAATTACATCACTCAGTATGAGACACGTCTTGTAACTTATCGGACTGATAGCGGCATTTTATGTCTCGAGATCATAGCTTAATCAGTCGTCCATCAACTGATGTCGATATTTCCAAGAAAATACACTGTACTACAAAAATAGATTGTGAGTCTAATTATAGTGACACTTGAATGATCATTGTTACTCCGCGGATTTTTATGAAGTTTATAACAGCCAACTTCCTACGTCGACGATAATATCGATAATAAATGTCTCTGTTGAATAACATCGAGAAATAGACGATAATTGACGAGGTGAGTTAATTGATGACTTGATGGAAATTTTTCCTGTCAAATTTATTTCTTAATAACCATGCGATCTGAGAACAGGATTAAAACTTACAAATTCTTACTTGAAGTATAATAATCTTACAAAATAAAATATATGCTTATAATTATTTTACATGTATAATTACAAAAAAAGATTGAATGATTTAGCAAAGCTATACTTATTGTGTAAGTTCAACATCTATAATTAAAAAGATTTGATGATTTAACAAAGAAATTATCTGTAAGCAATTATCTATGCTAATTCAGCTAATTCTTTGCTACAATGAAAATTGCTAATGTAACAAGTTATCTTCATTATAGCAGCAAAAATACGCGCTTAGTTAGCATGTTTTGTTAAAAAATTTAATCTATATATATTGGATTGATTTTTATAGAAAGTTATCTTTGCTGCATTAATAAATTTACTAAACTTTACATCAAATATGATGATTATATCAAATATGATAATCTCGATTTCATTCAGCTGTATAATTTTGCCATTTTAACATAGAAACTGATTGTCCGTATATTGTAATTGTAGATTTACTGATTTATGATATAATGAAGTTTTTAGTTGTTTTAACAATTTTTTCCCATGTACATATATTATTACATACCTTGATATTTGCTATACTTACAACTTACAAGAGATTTCCGCAGTATGGGAGAAAGATTCCAAATTATATTTTCAAACTGGTAGAGTTTTTTTTTGGCAGAATTTTTTTATTCGACACATTTCTGAAACAATTCTTTTGTATTCTTTATGAACTGTATCTTCCCCTCCTCACTTCAAGTTCAAAACAAGTTCATAATTATACAATTTGATATATCTACATGGAAAGAATTTTCTCTTAAAATTTACCCTGAAAAATATGGTAGTTGTGATGCAATACAATATTTTGAAGATTTTTACCATACGCTGCAGTAAAATTAATCAAACTTATTTTATACTTTATTGTAGTTTTATTAATGAATGAGAGAAATTTACATTAAAATAATTCTTCAAAATACAATGTTGTCCTATGACTATTATATTTTCAGGATAAATTCTAAGAAAGATTCTCTCCGTGTAGGGTAAACCTTTAATTCTCTTATAATTACTTCTCTTCTAAATGAACTTTTACATTTAACCAGTTTTAAAGTGATATTATTTTTAATCACTCTATATATATATATATATATTTATATTGTCACATCAATTTAGAATAAACTATCAGTTTGAAATTTTTTGAATATTATTTTTATTTAAAAGACACTTATAGTGTGTGTTTTATTATTGTGCGCCTTGAAACTGAAATTTGCGACCGAAACTCATTTCCATCCTATTTAATTTGAGTTTATTTATGTATGCGAAAGATTACTACGAAATGTTATTGTTCTAACACTTACATCAATAGACAAGTCGAGGAAGTGAATCTGTTGCTCGAGTCTCTCGAGGAGAGCCTGCGTCCGTTCTTTTCTTCCATACATCTTAGATGTCTTCTCTCTTTCATGGGCGAATGAATCACAATGCACTCATACATACACACTCTCGTTGACCTTGAATACTACTTCTCCCGTTTATTCTGAATTGGTTGATGTGTTTTATGAAAATAAAAAGAAGTTCTCACCTTCGTATCCGGTTCATAGGAAAATTCCGACTGGATCGTAAACGTATATATATCTTGAAATTATTTCGACATTGGAAGAGATTCCGAAAAATATCGATATTGATATTATTTATTGCATCTTATCAAAGTTTTTAATAATAAAAGTTGAAATTAATTTTAATATCAAAGAAATAAATAATAAAACATTTTAATGATTGAAGTTCGGAGCGAAAATTAAAAGTAACCAAGATTAGACAGGCATAAATGACAGAAATAAATGTAAATAAATATAATAAGAAATAAATATAACCAAAAATAAATATAATTATTTATCACAATTATTTATGACTTATGATTTTTCTCAACTTTATGATTTTCTTTTATTTTGAATTTTGTATACATATACATAATTTGATTTATTGGTCTTGAAACTCTAACTTAACATCGATAAAGTATTTAGATTAGATTTTATATATAATAATATCTACTTGAAATTTTGTGGTAGCTAAATTCATGACTATCGGGATTTTAATGAATTGGGATATCTTATAAAATGATAATATATTCCGAGGATAGTCTAAACCAAGCCTATTCAATTTTTTTTAAGCTTCGAACCAAAACGTAAAATTATCGATCCAAAAAATTCAATGTGAATAAAATTTTAAAAACTATAAAATGTTGATAAGTATCACTCAGATATGTATCAAAACTTTACAGCCTCCGAAATCTTAACCAACTCAAATTGGACCGGCTTTTAAAGCAATAATCTCTCTATAAGATATCATAATTTCGCAAATTATGATACTTTAAAACACGTAAATTAATGCCTTTTATATAATATATTCATTTTATAATTATTAAATCTCTAGCATCATATTAATCTTATCCGCTATCTTATCTCGTGTCATATATAATCACTATAGCTATCAAAATGTCTAATAATCTTTCATTGTAATTAATTTAATGTCATTGAATCGACTAACTCACGATAATCATATTTTTTCTTCTTATAGTAAATATTTACTTCAAGTTTGTTATATTCTTTAAAGACTATTATTTATTATTAATTTGTTATTATTATTTATAACTAAATAATACAATAACGAAAATTTAAATATTTGAAAAAATTTTCTCAAGCGCAAATAAATTAAAAACGAAGTTAGAAAATATTATTTTGAATTCCTATCTAGAAAAATAATTTTCTCTTTGACGAATAGACAACGATGAATTAATGCGATTGTGCATTATTGTTGTGTGTCCGGCTATGTTCTTCCGTCATAGGCAGCGGTCCAAGTATGACGTAACGTTTTCTAATAGATTTCATCGGAAACTTCAACCAAACTTGGCACGATTGATAAAGGAAACATTCACTTAGAAAAAGCTAGTTTTGATACAAGTCATG